AAGATAAGTTATCTAAAATCACACAACCGTTAAGAGGAGAAGCCGGAAGTCACCTATAGAATCTGGAATCTGTTTGATTCCAGAGCCTGTTTACTGATTTTAAGGGTTGGGAAGGTTCAGTAACTCCTTTAGGGTTTTCTAACCTATGGGTGGAGAAACGTGGACATCTTGGTGGGGTGGGGAAATTCAGCCTACGGATCCTCAAAAATGCGTTTGAGTCCTTTATTCATTCAAGTAATAAGAAGTGAAACTGAAAATTTCAGATAAAGCTCCATGACACAATAAATATCAGAAACTAAATTACATGGTGAGATGAGTTCCCCTGGGCACTTATGAAATGATTCATCCAGCTCTGGTGACCTGACTCTTCAGCCCCTCACTCACATGGAGGCTGTAAAAAGGGAGGGAATGAAGCTTGAGAGACGAGCTGGGGCCAGAAGCCCCACTCTATCCCAAGAGTACCTTTTCTTTTACTTCAGGTCAAGAGAGAGGAATTTCAGTAGACCACTTGGAGGGCTTCATCCCTGTCCCTTGCAGTCAGGGGATACAGTAGTGGGCAGTGTCTGGCTCTCGCTTGGAAAATCTACAAGTTAAGACTATCTTAGTGATTTCACTGACTGCCCTGACAGCAGACGTGAAGAGAGGTTGTGGGTGCATTGGGATTGGCGACCGTCTCGAGTTTCTTGGGGAAGGCATACATGGACATTTCCCATGGATTAGATGGGGGCCACAGGGCAAAAGGGCTGGAAGGAGACCATCCGAGGTCTGTCCAAAAGGCCCCCTCCCCAGGAGAAGGTGAGCTCTTAGCAGCTGGAAGCTGGAGGGGGCAGCTGATTCCGAAAGGCTATCGATAGAGGAAGCAATGAGACTCAAGAGATGACATCACCCACATTGAGGGCCTAGCACTGGGGGGGTCTCTGAAGAACTCACAAAAGCACTCACACGAGTCAGCTTTAAGCTTGCGAGCAGAGGACAGTATCAGGCAGTCCGCATCAAGTGGAACCTCTCCTGCCCCCGTTTACCTCCCCTCCCTTCTCCCTGCCATCCCCATCCAAGTGCAGAACAGTCACAGCAGCTGGCGAGTGAGATGGGGGTGAGCGGGAAGGAAGAAACGGGCCTACCTTAGCCTCTTCATAGAAGCCAGGCAGTGTTCCTGCAGCGGGAGGCGGCTTTCAGCCAAGCATCCTGTAAGCTTTTCCAGGGCACCTGGTTGACACCAGGCCCAGCTTGGGCGTGAAGTAGGGTCATGGGTGAAAGTGAAACGAAGCTGTAACTCCAGCAGAGCCCCTGCCATCTAGAAGCTCCCATTCTAGCCTAAGAGGCTGGCATAGACAAGGCACTTACAGAATGGTGGGATGCACAATAACAAAGGCTCATCTTCATTGAGTACCTACTCTATGTGTCGGTACTTTGCCTGAATGCTAACTCAATCCTCCTAACAACCTCTAGATCAATACTGCTGTGCCCATTTTACAAAAGAAAAACTTGGAGCTCAAAGAGGTTATGTGGATTTGAACTCAGTGCTGGCTGACTCCAAATGTGTGGTTTTGTTTTGTTTTGTTTTGTTTTTTTTGAGGCAGTCTCACTCTTTCGCCCAGGCTGGAGTACAGTGGTGTAACCTCTGCCTCCCCAGGTTCAAGCAGTTCTCTTTCCTCAGTCTCCCAAGTAGCTGGGATTACAGGTGCCCACCACCACCCCTAGCTAGTTTTTTGTATTTTTAGTAGAGACAGGGTTTTGCCATGTTGGCCAGGCTGGTCTCAAACTCCTGACCTCAGGTGATCCACCCACTTTGGCCTCCCAAAGCGCTGGGATTACAGGCGTGAGCCACTGTGCCGGGTCCAAATGGCACGTTTTTAACCACTCTGCTATAACAGTGCACAGAGGAGGCACCCAGGGTGGGTGGGGTGTGGAAGAATGGGGTTTGGGAGGATGTGCTGATAACAGAGAGAAGTGCATTCCAGAAAAGTGAATCAGCATTTTCAAACGCTGTGTAATTGTGTGGGTGCAAGACACTGTTTGTGTAGCTGCTAATTAGCATTGATTGAGCACTTACTGCATTTCAGGCACTTTCCTTGCATTTCATCCTCACAGCTTGCTGTGTATTCTCACCGACATTTTTTATAAAGGAGGGATCTTAGGCTCGGGGAGTTGTAGCCCAGAGACCCACAGACAGTAGAGGAGAGAAACCAGAACTAGTACTCAGGTCTGTCTCAGACTAGCCGTGTTCTCTCCACTACACCAGCCATGTGGCTGGAAATTAGCATCAATAGGAAAGGACGGGGATAGCTGACTTTTGAGGGGAGTTCTGGCTGACCCATTCAACCCCTTTTTTGGAACTAGCCCCGTAATTTGTTTTTAGGAAACCATAGCTGTCCATCCTCTTCCTTTGAGGGGGACCCACCTGGGGACCCACCCTACTCTCTGCCAGTCAATATACTGACTGCCCCTGGCCACATGATTGATTGGGTCAGAGATGGGCACGTGACCCCAGCTGATCCAATCACAGGGAGTTCTGGGGCTTGAAAAGGTGCTTCTGGGCGGAGGATTTCTTCCTGCCTGCCCTGGGAGGGCTGGGCATGAGGTTCTTTCTTCTTCTTCTTTTTAGCTTGCAAGCATTTATTCTATTCTATTCACACTGTACTGTTGTTATACAACCTGCAAACAGTACAAAAGACTAATCCATGTTTCAATGCCAGGTCAGAGCCAAGTTGCAACAAAGGAAGACAGCACAGACAGATACAAGAAGAGCTTAGGTGTCCCGTACAAGCCACAAGCCTCACTGTCACGTGAAGTATTTAAAGCTGTAAATATCACCACAGGAAAATCTCTGGTCTTTGCAGCAACCACACAGAGGTAGGGGTGGGAGGAGGCCTAGGCTACAGCTCAACTGGTGTGCAGAGTGGGGGAGGGGGGGCCCAGGAGTGGGGGCAGAATCCTGGGTCCTAACATGGGCATCTGGTGGGCAGCAGGGTCCCTGACCGAACCCGGCAGGCAGAGCCACTGTGGGGGGATCACGTGTTCTCTTTAAGCCGACAGACCATGCTATAAATGAAACTAGACAGAGTCAGGGACTACTTGTACTTTCTCTAATAACCGCCCACCAGACTCACAGACAGAGTGTCCCAGGTGGGTCATCAGGCAACTGCACTTCATGTCACAGTAATAAACAGGAGGCTGATATTACAGTGAAAAATTCAGCGTGGACGTTTCTGTGGGATGGCACAGTGCTTATCACTCGGAATAATGAGGCATTCCTTTCAGTATCTCGAAATGCCAAGTCCTTCCCAGCCTGGGGCTTTGGCACCCCCAATTTTTGCCTGGACTGCTTGTTCTCACCCCATGTCTTCACCCAGATCCCCTTATCCAGATCCCCCATGAATTCTGCTTTTCCCTGGAGCCTCCCTGGACCCTGAGGCTGGGCTGGCAGCCCCTGCCCCTCGGCTCCCATTGTTCCTGGCTACCAAGCAGAGGTCAGCCTGCCTTGTAGCCAGGCTGTGAGCTTTCCAAGAGTAGGGACACCTTCCCTCGTGGTCTCTCCTTTGTCTTCGGTGCCTAGCCTAAGTGCCTGACACATGCTTGTTGCGTGATTACATAAACACAGGGCAGGAATTGTGGCTGATTCATCACTGGGTGGGCATCACCCAGGGCTGGCTGCACGGGCTTGTGACCAGTGCCATCACATAAGGCCCTAGAAAGATGGCGCCTTGGTCACCACGTGTGATGTCACCATCATTGTCTTGAAATTTTAAATAATCTTTTTGAATTTGTGTTTTGTAAGTGAAGTCTGATGGGATCCCTGAGCATGCTTTAGGGACTTGGAGCCTCAGCTCTAGCACAGTCCTGCCTTCCATCACCTCCCCAGGGTGGGTCAGATACCCATCCCTCCACCTCCACCCGCCTGCCCCTGCCCTATGACTGCGGCTGTCCTCCACTCAGCAGGCACGCACAGGGTTAGGAGGCATGCACGCTTGGTGGCATCTTTCGGTGGGGCATGGCCTGGGGTTAAGCACCACAGTGCATCTGGTGGGTGGCCAGCTGGAGGCTGTGTCTCAACAAGGTCCAGCCTTTGGCCCACCCCTGATCCAGGTCCCCAGGGCATGTCGGCCTGGAGCATTAAAGATTCCCAAGGATCCCTGTCTGCGGTGGGTTGGAGAATAGGCTGTGGGAAGAGGCAGGCTTGGCTCAGCTTCCCCAGACCCCGCCCTAGCCAGGGCAGGTCTTGTCAGTCCAGTCACTGGCTGAGGGTGAACCCAGCTGCCCTCAGACTCAAACAAGCCTGTGTGTCCCGTGCGGCAGGGTAAGGCCCCAGGCACTTGTGAACTTCTGTCCTCTCCCCGCTAGTATCCCCCATACCAGAGAGAGTATCCCTGTACCCAGGAATGCTCCAGCAGCTGGCTCTGTGTCAGGTGTGTTTGTGTGTGTGTGTGTGGGTGTATGTATGGGTGTGTGTGTGTGTGTGGGTGTGGGTGTATGTATGGGTGTGTGTGTGTGTGTGTGTGTGTGTGTGTGTATGTATGGGTGTGTGTGTGTGTGGGTGTATGTATGGGTGTGTGTGTGTGTGTGTGTGGGTGTATGTATGGGGGTGTGTGTGTGTGTGTGGGTGTATGTATGGGTGTGTGTGTGTGGGTGTGTGGGTGTATGTGTGGGGGTGTGTGTGTGTGTGTGTGGGTGTGTGTATGGTGTGGGTGTATGTATGGGTGTGTGTGTGTGTGTGGGTGTATGTATGGGTGTGTGTGTGTGGGGGGGGGTATGTATGGGGGTGTGTGTGTGTGTGTGTTCCTCTTCTCCTTTCAGCCTTCTTGTGTCTGGCTCGTTTGTCTTTTGTGGCCACTTAAGGCGCCCCCATAGGGTTGAGCCACGTAATACAAACTGTGATTTCAGTGATTTTGATAAGGCATTAAATGCTTGCTCTTTTGCATTTAAAACTGGAATTTCACAATATAAAGCCGAACAGTACATTCATGCCAGTCATAAAAAATTTTATTCTTTTCTTTACTTAGAACATCAAATAGCAAATGAATAGCATCATAAGAAGTCAAGAGAAAGACCATGGAAGAAAGAAGAAACTTTAACAGCGCTTTTTTCATGATCTTTGAACAAGGAGGTCTAAATTGTCATTTTGCACTGGCCCTGTCCCAGCTCATGTTTGTTGAGTGAAATAATAAAGAAATAAATGCATACATGTATATTTATTAGAACGCGGAACACACTCATTATCTTCCATTTCCTAACAACGCTGTGTGTGATCAGGATTGCAGGCATGTTATGAAATACTAGAAGAGCTGAATATTAAAATTACTCTGGAATCATATATGCTTATTGTTGGGGTTATTTGTCACATCTCCAAAGTCATCACAGTTTTCTCAGCATCAATGTCGTCATCTTACCCCAGTCCTGGTTCTGGTCTTAGTGGAATAGATTGTATCAGACTAATCCTCTGACAGACAACAATGGTCAACTGCGGACGAAATTTTAAAACAACTATTTAAAGATGCCAGAGAGCAAACAAAAGCAGACGAGTTAGAGGGACTTCAACCCATGAAATCAATAAACATAGTGACTGAGACTCATGCACACACACATTACAGAGGGACCGAAGCTCTACAGGAGGAGGACCCTTGTCCATTTTGTTGATGGCGCATAGTAGATGCTCAATAAATTTTTGTTGTCAAATGAATGTTTTGTTTGGCCGACCCCATTTGTTGTTTTTTCAGTTTTACTGAAGGATGATTTATGTAAAATAAAATTCACACTTTTTAATTGTACCATTTTATGAGTTTCACAAGCGTATACAGTTGTGTCTGCCACTATGATCAAGACATAGAGTATTTCCATCACCATAGAAAGTTCCTTTATGCCCCTTTGCAGTTTATCCTTTCCCTAGCCCCAGCACCTGGCAATCGCTGACCTGATTTCTATAGCTTTGCCTTTTCCAGAAAGTTGAATAAATGGAATCACACTAAATGTAGCCTTTTGTGTCTGGCTTCTTTCTTTCTTTCTTTTTTTTTAAAAGTTATTATTTTTTGAGATAGAGTCTCGCCCTGTCACCCAGGCTGGAGTGCAGTGGTGTGATCTCAGCTCACTGCAACCTCCGCCTCATGAGTTTAAGCAATTCTCGTGCCTCAACCACCTCAGTAGCTGGGATTACAGGTGTGCGCCACCACACCTGGCTGATCTTTGTACTTTTAGTAGAGATGGGTTTTCTCCGTGTTGCCCAGGTGGGTCTCAAACCTCTGGCGTCAAGTGATCCACCCGCCTTGGCCTCCTAAAGTGCTGGGATTTCAGGCATGAGCCACTGTGCCTGGCCTGTGCCTGGCTTCTTTCTTTCACTTGTATAATACCTTTGAGATCCATCCATGTTGTTTGTGTGTATTAATACATTATTTCTACCATGGCTGAGCAGCATTCCATTGTGTGGCTGTATCTCAAATTGTGGATTTTTGGGTTGTTTCTAGTTTCAGCAATGATGGATTAGGCTGCTATATTTGCCTGTGGGTCTTTGTGTGGATAGATTTTGTTTTCCAGAAGTGGCATTGCTGGGTCATATGGGTAAGTGGATACTTAACTTGGTAAGACACTGCCAAACTGCTTTCAAAACAGCTATACCAGCCATGTAATGAGAGTTCCAGTTGCTCCACATCCTCACCAACACTTAGCATTGTCAGCATTTAAAGAATTTTTTAGCCATTCTAATAGTATGTAATGTTATCTCATTGTGGTTTTAATGTGCATTTACCTAATGACTAATGATGTCAAGCATTTTTTAATGTCCTTATTCACATCTCTTTTTTGATGAAGTATGTGTTCAACTCTTTTGCCCATTTTAAAAATTGGGTTGTTTATGTTCTTATTACTGAACTGTGAGAGTACTTTATATATTTGGGATACAAGTCTTTTATCAAATCTGTATTTTGCAAATATTTTCTCCGGCCTGTGACTTGTCTTTTCATTCCCTTAATAATGTGTTTTGTTGGCCGGGCGTGGTGGCTCACACCTGGAATCCCAGCACTTTGGGAGGCTGAGGTGGGCAGATCACAAGGTCAGGAGATCGAGACCATCCTGGCCAACATGGTGAAACCTCGTCTCTACTAAAAATATAAAAATTAGCCAGGCTTGGTGGTGGGCGCCTGTAGTCCCAGCTACTCAGGAGGCTGAGGCAGGAGAATCGCTTGAACCTGGGAGTCAGAGGTTGCAGTAAGCCAAGATCGCCACTGCACTCCAGCCTGCCGACAGAGCGAGACTCAGTCTCAAAAATAAATAAATAAATAAATAAATAAATAAACAAATAGTAATAATGTGTTTTGTTTTGTTTTGTTTTTTTGAGACCAGGTTTCACTCCATTGCCCAGGCTGGAGTGCAGTGGAGCAAACTTGGCTCACTGCAGCCTTGACTTCCTAGGTTCCTGCAACCCTCCCACCTCAGCCTCCTGAGTAGTTGGAACTAAGGCACTTGCCACCACACCTGGCTACATTTTTGTAGAAAAGGGGTTTCACCAGGTTGCCCACGCGGGTCTCGAACTCCTGGGCTCAAGTGGTTCATCAGCCTTGGCCTCCCAGAGTGCTGGGATTACAGGCACCTTAATAACATCTTTTGAAAAGCAAAATTTTAAAATTTGATAAAGTCTTCTTTATCAATTTTTTTTCTTTTCTAGTTTGTGCTTTTTGTGCCCTAAGAAATCTTTGCCTAACCCAAAGTCACGACGAATGTTCTCCTGTGTTTTCTTCAAGAAGTTTTAGAGTTTTAGGTTTTATATATTTAGGTCTATGGTTAATTTCAAGTGTTTTTTAATATATAGTATGAGATAGGGGTTGAGGTACTTTTTATTTTTTTTTTTTTTTTTTTTTTGTGTAGTTGTTTCAACACCATTTGCTGAAAAGACTGTTCTTTCTCCATTGAATTGCCTTTGGAACTTTGTCAAAAATCAATTGGTCAGCTGGGCGTGGTGGCTCACATCTGTAATCTCAGTACTTTGGGAGGTGGATCATCTGAGGTCAGGAGTTCGAGACCTGCCTGGCCAACATAGTGAAACCCCGTCTCTACTAAAAATACAAAAATTAGCCAAGTGTGGTGGCACTTGCCAGATACTCAGGAGGCTGAGGTAGGAGAATTTCTTGAACCTGGGAGGCAGAGGTTGCAGTGAGCCAAGATCGTGCCACTGCGCGCACTCCAGCCTGGGTGACAAAGCTAGACTCCATCTCGAAAAACAAAACAAAACAAAAAACAAAAAAAATAATTGGCCATATATCTGTGGATCTGCTTCTACAGATTCTAATCTGTTCCATTGATCTGTGGGTCTACCCTTTTGCTAGTCCCATATTATCTTGATTACTGCAGCCTTATAAGAAGTCCTAAAATCAAGTAACACAGTCCTCCAGTTTGTTCTTCTTTTTCAAAATTGTTTTGGCTATTCTAGTTCCTTGGCCTTTTTATATGAATATTAATTTATCAATTTCTAGGCTGATTTAGATTTTAAATGCTATTGCATTGAATTTTTGGATCAATTCAAGGAGAACTGACATCTCAAGTATATTGAGTCTTCCAATCCATGAACACAGTATATTTTTCTGTTTAGGTTTTCTTTGATATCTCTCAGTGATTTATAGTTTGATAGTTTTCAGTATGCAGCTCTTGCACATATTTTACTAGATTTATCTCTAAGTATTTCATGTGTTTCTGATACTTTGTAAATTGCGCTTTAAACATTTTTTAAGTTCCAATCGTTCATTTTTGGAGTATAGAAGTTAAATCGATTTTTATGTATTGACTTTGTATGCTGTGACCTTGCTAAATTCATCTGTTAGTTCAAGTTGCTTTTTCATGGATACTTTGGAATTTTCCAAGAGCAACTGTGGCACTGCAAATCAGGATGTTGAACCCTTATACTTCTGTATATCCTTATATTTGCAGGACTGTCCTCATAAAGTGTAACTGTGGAGAGCACGGCTTTGCAGTCAGACGTGGTTGGATTCTGGTCCTTCCATTTCCCAGCTGCGTGACTGTGGCCTAGTTATTTGGCCTCTCTGAGCCTCCATCCCATCACTTGTAAAATGGGGGGAAAAATCACCCCTCTCTGAGATTATCATTAGAGAATCGTTAGTTTCCAGAAGTGGGATTGTAGGTGAGCAGGCAGTCACAATTTTAAGGCTCTTGGTATCTACTGCCAAATGTTTGAATTGGAGTGCAACTCTTCACCAAGCCCAGCAACACTGCCACTGCTGTAGTCTGAAGGTTTGTGTCCCCCAAAACTCATATGTTCAAATCATAACCCCCTAAGATGATGGTATTTGGAGGTGGGGCCTTTGGGAGGTGATTAGATGATGAGGGTGGAGCCCTCATGAATAAGCTTAGTGTCCCTATAAAAGAAGCCCCAGAGAGCTCCCTTGCCCTTTCTGCTATGTGATGTCACAGGGAAAAGACAGCCATCCACGAACCAGGAACCCTCATAGAACACTGAATCTCATAAAACACAAACCTTCAGACTATAGCAGTGGCAGTGTTGCTGGGGATGGTGAAGAGTTGCACTCCAATTCAAGCATTTTGGCAATAGATACCAAGGGTCTTAAATTGTGACTGCCTGCTCACCTGCAATCCACTCTGAACACTAACGATTCTCTAAAGATAATCTTAGAGAGGGGTGATTTTTTCCCATTTTACAAGTGATGGGACAGAGGCTCAGAGAGACTGAATAACTAGGCCACAGTCACACGGCTGGGAAATGGAAGGACCAGAATCCAATTCACCTTGATTTTGGACTTCCCAGCTTCCACAACTGAGAGGAATAAATTTCTGTTGTTTATAAACCACCCAGTCTATGATATTTTGTTCCAGCAGCCCAAATGGACTAAGACAGACATTTATAATTATGTGTGCTTTAAAAGATTTGGAGAATAATGTATACATATATCAAAACATCATGTTATACACCGTAAGTATATACATGTTTTTAACTGTCAACTTTCAAATTAATTAACCAATTAATTTTAAAAAGAGAGAAAGACTTGGAGAGACAGTCTTACCCTGTTTGCTCATAATTGTCAGCCAATTGATCTTCTTATATTTCCTGTCTGTTGTTTCTGGCCCATAAATGGCCATCACTGTTGGTTTACATATCTTATTCTTTGATGTTTGAAGTGTTTTCTGATAACCACAAGGGCAAAAATAATTGACCTTCAGGGAGCACTTCCTCCGCGCCAGGGAGCACTTCCTCCGCGCCAGGGAGCACTTCCTCCACACCAGGGAGCACTTCCTCCGCCCCAGGCTGCGCTTCCAGATATTAACGAATCCCCATGACAACCCTATGGAGTCTC